CCTATAAGATATAAAATTAAATGAGGTTTTAACCTTTAAAAAATCTCCATTTCATTATTAAAATACAGTTTCATACAGAAAAAAATTCATTTTTAATGCAATTGACATTGCTTGCACATGTGTTTCTAATCTCTATATATCTGATTATTACTAGTCACAGTCGGTTACTTACTGAGCTCCTTGGCATCTGAGCACGGGTATAAAGTCATCAGGTAGATTTCAATGGTAATATTTTTCACATCTAATAATTATTAAGGAGCAAATTTTTATGCTTTGAAGAATTATCATTATTTTTTTTATTAATTTATTTATATACCCACTTCTGAGGTAGCACCCTCCCATAGCCTCCCTCCTGCCACTAGAGCCCTTATACTCTAATATCCCTGCTACTGTCTGCTGTGTTGTCAGCATCCCCAGGCATTCCATCTACTTGCCCTTCTGATGAATCTAGTCAGTCTATCTACAGATCTTTGTTTTAGGAGGGTCAGCTGCTCCTCATCTAGTGGTAATCAGTTGTGATTATTCCTTTGGATAAGATTGGGGTCTGCTGTTTAATTTCCCAGTTAAATGCTGGGTTACTATCTGGAAATCCCTTTGGCCATCCTGGCCAACGACTCAAAAGAAGGAATGTCCTGTCCGGCATTGTTGCTTGTTGTGTAGCCTTTACCTATACATATGGAATCTTATGAAATTATATTGGCTCCTTTAATCTTTGCTTATACTTTCCTTTTGGTTGTTTAAGGCCATACATTTGGTCCAGATAAACTGATTCATTTTTACTCTCAAGGTCGTTTGAGGATCTGTACCTCAGGGCTCACATGGACTTTGGAGGAGCCCCTGGCTCCTTTCTTTTACCAGTTCCACCTATGTGAAGATAAGTCAAAGGTCCTGCTCAACCATGGTTGGCTTCACTTGGAAGCATGGAGGAAATGAATCTTCTGTGTTGACCCTCCTCTTTATAGACTGGACACTGGTTCAAGTTTGTCTGGTGGGATCTCCTCGGCCTCCTTCATCAAGAGGACAGGTGATTCACCAGCATTATAGGACATTGAGAGATGCTCATATTCCCCCGGAACTAGTCGAGCTAGGAGGGCAGGGAGCAAAAAATGTCTTTCATGTCCCTCTGACCAAATTATTATAGACCTCAAAGTATGTCTGTCAAACACCCAAGAAGCTTAGTTCCACCAGTCCGGTATTTGTAATTACTGTATATCATGTAGCTCAACTTGGGCAAAGACCAGTTGTTCTCAGATAAACCTTACCTAGACATATATTTCTTGATCTGCTATGTATAATTTGTCAGTAGGTTGTATGAGTAATATGGGTCTCTCTAGTTTTCAAAACTAGCTAGGCATTCTTTATCTCTCACATTGTCTCATCCCTCCATCATGGTTTTCTCATTTGAGGTGCCCCTATTTCCCCCCTTTCTCCCTTACTAATACCCTTCTCCTATGATCCTACCTCACTTGAGATCCTTCTTTCCATTTATCCCATAGGTTCCTTGTATAACCTTCTCTCCCCCCTCCCTTAAACTAAACCAATTAGGAAAGGATTTTTTATGATGAGACTTTTGTCTGACTTGAACTTTCGTGAATCAAGTGTGTGTGCTTTCACATTGCTGTGAGTTCATTTAAGTCACTTCCTAGCTGTCTGGAAAATGATTTCCTCATAGTCAATAACCACCTCTAGCTCTTGCAATCTTTCTGCCCCATCTTTCACAATGATCCCTGGGTCTTGGGTGGGAGAAGTTTGATACAGATGTCTTATTCTGGGATAAGCACTCTGTAGTCTCTTATTCTCTGTACTTTGGCCAGTTTTGGCTTTCTGGGTTAATCATATGTTGCACAAGGAATCTTCATTAGTGAAGGTAGAGAGATGAATTAATAGCGATTCTGCCCTCTGTTCTGCTGTGTTCTTGAGCCTTATATGTAGAGGTTGCATTGGAGCTATGTCACTTAGGGCTGCTCACCTCACAGACACTCACTCCAATTCTGAAACTTTTTAAACATCTCCTTCTGTTGTAAAAAGAAGCTTCTTTGATGAGTAATGAGTGGTACACTGCTCTGTAAATACAAGGATAAATATTTAGAATACAGTAAGACATTACATTTGTCTAGGGATGGGACGAGAGTAGGTTTTTCTCTGGGATCTATGCTCTCTCCAGTCATGTGTAAATTTGAGTATATAACACCATACATGAATTCTCTGTTTGAGCAGTCCTAAAGTCCAATGAGACAGTGTCAACTCCAAGATAAAAGTGCCACTACTGCACAGTAGGGGTTATTTGCTGTGATGATAATTGTTGTGATATATACATTTCACAGCTAGATTGAATCATTGATTGTTTTTGTCCTTTGCAGTTTACATAGCATCATAGGATACTTTGAGAGTTATTCTTCAGAAAGGAAGCAGCTGGATCAGTTCCAGCTGGATGCCAAAGTTTTGTGTCCGAAGTATGCCCCGTCTGTAGCAATACGGTCTTGTCTTCAAAATCTAGGAAGGATTCAAGAGCTGTGGCTCATTTCTTGCAATTGATTTGAAAAAAAAAATGTGTTTCATAAGATAAAAAGAACATTAACCCGTTTCTCTTACCTTAGTAGGATCGCCTTTCCAGACATCCTTCCAGGATACTATCACAGACCTGCTGCACTGGGCAGCAGTTCATAGCATCAAAGATAGTGTGATGCTATAGGAGATATATGGATGTTTGTCACATAAATTAATTGAAAAATATCAGAATAATTAATTGCACTATATTGTGCATGAGTTGAAGTTTTTTGTACTTGAATTTTATAGAGAGGAATTTGTGAATGAATCACTGCCAAATCTGGTCAGATGCCTCCAGCTTCATTTGCCTTTATCTATAATTCTTATCTATAAATATTTTATTTACTATTTTTATTTTATGTGTCTGCATGCATTGCCTGCATGTAGGTAAGTGCACCCATGTTGTGCAATGCCCGCAGAGGAAAGAAGAAGCTGTCAGATCCCCTGGAACTGGAGTTATGGACAGTTGATAGCTGTCATGTGGGTGCTGGGATTAGAACCCAGATCTTTTTCAAGAACAGCCAATGTTTTTAACCACTGAGCCATCTCTCCAGCCCCTATCTGTACTTAAGCCAAACTTTTCAGATTATCATACAACCCACCCTGACATTTGTAACATTATGAGAGAGAGAGAGAGAGAGAGAGAGAGAGAGAGAGAGAGAGAGAGAGAGAGAGCAAGGGAATACATGTAAAATATATTAAGTGGGATAAAAAGGAGAAAATATAATCTTTCTAAAGTATTTAAAGTATTTGTGTCATAAATAATAAATATTTACAGCACAATGATAAGTATTTTTATAGAGAAAACACTAAGTGCTATGATAGCTCCTGAGAGTATTGGGTAGAAAACTTTTCCCTTATGAAATGAGATATTGAATGTGGCCCAAAAATTCACAGTGAGTTAATCAGGAAAATATATGAGGAGTGATTTGACTGAAAACAATAAGCATTTCTAAGAGTTGGAGGAATTTTTTTAACAAATCTCACTGAGAAAAATAAAGTGGAAAACAATAAGTTTGGAGAGATAGACATTCTACATTATATTTGACCAGAAACCATGCTAAAGATTATTATCTTTAAGACAATAGTTAATAAAAGATTATAGTCATGAATAGTGAATAAGAGCTGTATTTTGGATTATTATATTTGGTAAGATATAAAAATGATTAGGAAGAAGAAGATTGAAGAGGAGTAAGCCATGGCTACTCAAAGTAAAAGTATAACCTAGACAGAGTGGAAAACAAAGGGAAGAAGTAAGTTGGTGGAGATATTTCAAAGGGTTGGTGATGTCCCAATTTTAAGGCAGAATGAAGTAAAACAAAAGGTCCAAGAGGTCCTCCAAATTTCTTGTACAACTGAGTAAAATGCTTCATTTACATATATAAGAATCACCAGATCAGCACATTTATCATAAAAAGGGAAATGATCTATTTCCAGCACAGAATACATAGTACACAAAGTATATAGGAGTGTGAAGATATAGAGTGATGCTCCCCAGTCTGCTTGTAGTCTAGCATACGCTACTTCCAAATGGTAGATACAAATGAGAAAGTTCCTAGGAATATATTCAGAAATACAATTGACTAGTGCTCATTCTCTTTCTAAATAGTGATAACAGGCCAGGCCTAGGACCCCCTTATTTTATAGAAGCTCATTACATAGATTTTATATGAAATGATGCTTGACAATTTTTATATAAAGAAGGATAGTACTTTACTTTGCATAATCCTATTTGGGATGTGTCCCTTGATGCTCAATTCACTTACCTACCACATGGATTATAAGGGGATTATATAATGAAAATGATTATGAAAATGATTGTGATGAAATTAAAAATTATTCTTCAGAAACAAAGTAGGCTATCAATGTGTATAATACTCTCATCCTCTTCCCATCTTAGGCAATTATTCTTTAAGGAAAATAAACGTTACATTAAATTGGCTTTTACAAATAATTTATTAAAATGAAGGAATGAAAATTCAATATTACATAAGCCCCTTTCCAATAACTGTGGGTGTGATGTGTAGCAATAGATGCATTTAAAACAATTAGTATATAGTGGGATTCACTTCTGTATTTAGAGGTTTAGAATTGTTCTTTTTCAATAAATAAGAAAATGAAGATCGTGTGAGAATGTCTTGCTAATTATTTTATTTCTTATATTTTACTTTCTAGTTTGAAATTGTAGCCTATAATTTCCAATATATACTGATGTCTAAAGAAAACCATAATAAAAATTTATATCAAACTTCATTTATAAAAAGCTTGGGTTATCTCTAAAGACTACATTGTTATTACAAACTCTGTGAAATTATTATTTTAATATGTGTCTACCCATCTTTATATACAGGATCATTTTAAAACCTCTCAATACTCAGTTGTCATAAGGTGAAAGAAATATTTAATAAACCATGCAGCAATTGTAATTATGATCTACTCTTGACAAAGATATTGACAATACTTCATTGTGGGTTGTCTGTGTCAAGAATGATTGAGTAACACGTCTGACTCAATATAACATCTGGGGAAATAACTTCAAAATTATTGCAGTATGTGTCATAACTCTTTCTTCTAAAATATATTCCCAGCTATCATTGTGAAATATCATTACAATTGTGTTCTTGAAAACTCAGGAATAAATCTTTTCTGGAAAACTATCTATATCAAATTCATTTAAATATAGATGTTTTAATATTTTAACTAAATATTAAGTGGGTGAGTTCATGTTTTATAATTTGTAATATATGAGCAATTTCTTTTAAAAATATTTTATTTATTATTTTTATTTTATGTGTATAAGTGTGTTACCTGTATGTAGATAAGTGCACCCCTGTCGTGCAATGCCTGTGGAGGTCAGAAGAGGGATTCATATTCCCATCGAATTGGAGTTATGGATGATTGTTTAGCCACAATGTGGATGCTGGGAATTGAACCCAGGTCCTCTGCAATATCAGCCAGTGCTCCTAACCACTAAGCCATCTCCCCAGCATAAGAAATATTGCTTTCCAAAGAATTTTTATTGCATCCATTTTCATTATTTTACTTGTGACTGAAATGGGAAAATGTGAGCAAATTTTATTTAATATTTACACGCATAGATTTTAAGTATATTATAACTACCATATTTTCATGTGACTTTAAAATTGGTTTTGTGTTTCATCTTTTTGAATAGATGGCTTCCTTGAATATTGGGAGAGCTGGTGCCTGTGTGGTCGTCATCAAGCAACCTTGATTAATTTTTATCTTGTTTGGAGGGTTTTCCTTTGCTACAGTGGTTATTTTATATCGTATGCCAAGGCTGAAAATTTCCTAAGATGAAAATTCCTCAAGAATAAGGATTTCTATACATGAACCTGCTAATGTCGAAAGCCGTAGAAGATCAAAGAGACTTTTGGGAAAGAAGAAAACATAAGAGTAGTGCAGACACCATGTTTGAACAGGTGTTAGTTCAGGAATGGTTATTGGTAATTTGTTTTGTATTGTTGCATACATAACTAGAGTTACCAAAGGATTGTTTATCATGAGCGACTGAAAGATGAGATTGCTATTTATGACAAAGATAGTTCTTAATTGACAGGTAATTCAGTTATTTCATAATGTGTGATGATATCCAATATGCTTCTATAATATTTTATCACACAAAATCTGATTGGTTTGTTGTTTCTCTAATCAAATGTAGTCATACAAGGAAGCACAATGTTTTATTGAAGAAATGTGCTTCTTTCTTATTTTCCTGAGCTATGGGAACAATTAGAGAAACAGATTCATTTTTGTCTCATGCATTCAGAAAACAAAATGCCCTGATAATCAAAGCTGCATATTGTATTAGGAATGATGGTTGGATTGCATTGCAACCATGTCTCCAGTCTGAACCCAGCAAAAACAAAGGACTTTTCATTGGTCCCTGCCATTTTGCTTTGCATTGTGAACGTACTGAGCCAAAGAGTCAGCAGAGTTTGGCCCTTGCCTCATGTTGAGTTCAGTGTAAGCATGGAAGCCACATATTCTGAATGCTAATATATACCAATATATACCCACTGCATGCTGAAGCCCTTTAGAATTTTGTGACAAAAATTTATGATCCATTAAGTTAGAGTGATCATGTTAACTACTGTAAGGATGGCTGAATTCACATTCTCATTCCCCAGTTTTCAAACATCTTACATCAATATGTACATTGCTTTAGATCAAATGTTTGTAAATATTTATAGTATGAACCATTATATAATGTTGTTAATATATGTCCATGTAAATTTTAAGTATAATTAATAAAAGTTAGAACATTTGCTTTATCAGTGCATCTTTCATCATTAAATTTTTAGATCTAAGTTAAAAACTGACACATAACACATATGTTGATTGTAGATGTTCATATATATGTTTTTGTGTATGCATGCAAGTGTGTGTAGGTGAAGTTGATGGGTACATGTACGTATGCAAATACTTTTGTTTATTTTATGAGTTACTTTTTCACTTTAAATATTATTTGATTCCTAGTCTCAAAACCTCAGCATGGGGCTAAAGAGTGACTCAATATGTAAAGTCCTTCCCAGGCAAATGTCAGAACCTACATTCAAATCTCCATGTAATTTCATTTTGTAGAGTGTATCTGTAATCCAGCAATTGCCACACCAATTTCAATTTGCATGCTGTGGCACTTTGTGTCCCCTACCCTAACATACACATACAAAAAACACTCATATTATAGTTGTAGACAACATTCCACAGGTTAAGTTTTAAAATTTAATGATCAAATTCTGAAGATATTATCCTAAAGATAGCAGGAAACTTACTCTTGCATCTATAGTTTTGCTAACAAACGTTGCTAAAGCAATTTTTTTAAAATAAGCTGATTTGGCTATTTCCTTTATTTCTAATTCTGATGATGAAATTAGAGGGTCAGAACTGGCCTACTTAAATGTATTGACTATTTTTTAAGCAAGCCCATGAAATTCTACTGATTACCTCATTGCTTATAGAATAATGATGAAGTTTCCCCCAGTGAGCTCTAGTATTATTTAGAGAAATTATAAGTAAAATTATCTTCTAAGTTAGGATGTGTATATTCTAAGACTTGTATTTATGACTTTTTTTCTAAGCTTTTCTTGTTTTAAAACTATATTTAACCACTTTCTTTTACAACTTTCAATTTGAAATTTTTCTTTAACCATATTCATATATAGAGACATCTCTATTAGTTGTTTGGTTTTAATAAAGAAAAAATAACCAAGAGAACAACTTAGATGAGACAAGATTTATTGTAGCTGATGGTTCCAGAGATTTCCATCCATTAACTTGCTCCACTGATTCTTGTCTCTGACTGAGGCAGAAGATCAGGTGGACTATCCAAACATGCTTTGCTGTGCCACACATTCTTTCACACAGGCTCAACTGCCAGGCATGGTGGCACATGCCTTCAAGCCCAGCACTTGGAAGTTAGAGACAGGAGACCTCTCTGAATTTGAGGCCAGCCTGGTCTACATAGCGAGTTCCATGTAAGCTGGGACTACAGGTAAACCCTGTCTCAAAAAGACCAAAAAAAATTTTAATTTAGCCTTGACCTATCAATATTCTTAGTACAGTCATTACTAACTCTTTAAACTAATGTGATCTATACTTAAATTTTACCATTTTCTGGATATAGATATAGGAATTTAAATGAATTGAGACAGTGATAAAATTAGCAATGACATTTTTATTATTGCTTTCTCTTCCCATGTATTGTATATGCCTCTTCCTTGTTGAGGAAATCACATTCTCTGCAATTGAATATCTGGTTAGCTTTCTGTTATTTTATGCGGGAAATGAAATCTAACATCCTGTAAAAGAACTAAACTAATCTCAAAGCAAAACAAAATGCATTATCAATATTATTGTCACACTGAGAAAATGTTCTCACATTTTGAGAACTCATAATGTTGTTACTCACTATTGCTTTGTGAACAGCTCAAATATCTTTCAGTGATGAAACAAATACAGATATACTGACTGAGACTACAAGAGACCAAAGAGAACAGTCTTTTACTTGTTATAAAAGTACCCAAGGCTAACCACAATATCATATTGCTTTATCAAGATCTGTGGGCTAAAGAAAGTTCTTTCAGGTCAGTATAATTAATAATGAGCTCTAATGAGTAAGTTTTAGGATTTCATGTTATTATAAATTATGCAAATAATCATGTTATCTATATTTTGCTATTAGAAAAATTCATTTCAAAGTTTTCTTTGTATCATTGTTACAGAATTAATATCTATATATTTTCAAACTTAAATATGAAAACCCCAGTTTCCATTTTGGCTGGCTGTGGAGAAGATGCATCTAATGAAAATGTTACTCTTAAATGAAAAAATAATGGAATGACCATGAACCAATAACATTCCCTGTGTTCAGTATGCCTTTGTGAGAGTGCCCATAAGAATGGTCCTGTGAGGGAAAAATGCTCATCTCCAGGCCATGAGGAGAACTCCTGCTTAAAATTTCATTCCACAGCACATTGATATAGAGATTCAAGTTTCCACCCTGGCAGAAATACTGTTCTGTCCATCTAGGCTCTACGATCTTCACATGGTTTCCTCACTGACTAATACCATGACCAAGCAATGAGAGTCCATGCCATTTATCTTGCATTCTACTTATTTTCCTTTTTTTCATCATTTGAACACTCTGATTATTTTAATCTTAACTTACTTTTCAACTTCAAAGGGAATAAAACACATTTGTAAAGTTAATTGAATACATTTCTAATGAAAATTCCCTTAAGCTGAATGGAGATATATTTTTTTAGGAACAACCCTCCAGGTAAACACACATTCAAAAATAAACTTCCAATCCATCAAACAGGACTGTACCATAAAGAAATTTGACAGTGATATTAATATCTACAGGTAAATGCTTTACCAAACAGAAGAAAGAAGCTATTATGTAATAATTGTTACAATATTTTAGTTTGTTTTTGAGCTCATGATATTGTGTCCAGGGTAGATGTTCATTCAGTCTGATTCCTTTGGAAACCTACCTATCTATATTTCCTAATGGCTTCTGGAAAAAGTGGAGACTAAATTGTAAAAGGATTTTTCTTCAACGAAATATCTAGAATAAAAATTATGAGATAACTTCTAAAAAAGTAGTAAGAATTTCAAGGCTATATTAACTTTGTAGCTTATAAAATATTTTTATCTTAAGCCTTTATGAAATTTTTCATAAGGTGAAAATAACATAAGAATAAAGAAATCTGAAAATTCATTTAAAATTCAAGAAAAATTATTAAATAGCAATTATTTGAAAAGCATTAATCTAGAAAAATGGGAGCATTTAGTAATCAAAGCGATATTGCACTAAAAAGTAGAAAAGGTAGATTTGTTGAGATCAGCTTTTCTTTATTCAAAAGAAATTAAACTGTGATTAAAATATTAAGATTTCCACAGATTGTGGTGTTTCATTCCATTCAGACTAAAATATTCATCAACTGATAAAATAATAGAACATACCTCATGTACACAGCAAACTTATACACCCATAAAATGAAATATTGTTATATTTCAAATGAGGAAACTGCTATGGGTTTTATTCAGTAATGATAGCCAAATTTATTAGTTATGTCTCGTCTCTGTATAATTACTGAGTCCTCTCTCTCCCTTACTTCCTAACCTCCTCTTCATTTCATAATGGCTGAGCTCATGTTGCTGTTATCTGTTTCACTGAAGACTCCTTGTTTACCATTATTTCACTGGTCTAACTTATTTTAATTTTAATATATGTCATTGCCTGATCTAAGGTCCTACTCCATGAAAATTTTCTGTAAATGTACAGAAATTATATATACATGGAATATATAGAGTCTGTATATAATTACACTATCAATCAAGGGCCAAGTGTGGTGGTACACAACTTTAATTCTAAGCATTATGCAGGCAGAGGCAGCCTGATCACTTGGACATCAATACCATCATTGGGTGATCTCCATAGTGAGTTCCAGGATAGCTGGGACTACATAGTGAGACGCAGTCTCCAAAAAAAAAAACAGAAAATAACCAAACAATCATCTGTTTTATGAGACATTGCCACTTCAGCCTAGAAATTCAAATATTTCATTAAAGCTCTTGAGAACTTCAAAAAGGGTTATAATCTCAAGGAATTTAACTCCTATTTCCATTTAAATAATTTTACTTTCAACCTTGTATAATACACCCCATGTATTCTTCCTATATACAATCCATTCAAATGTCACATTAAATCTCAATATCTGTTTTATGAGACATTGCCACTTCAGCCTAGAAATTCAAATATTTCATTAAAGCTCTTGAGAACTTCAAAAAGGGTTATAATCTCAAGGAATTTAACTCCTATTTCCATTTAAATAATTTTACTTTCAACCTTGTATAATACACCCCAT